AAAGATCACTGTATTGTAAATCGTATGTCAGACACATAGTAAGCATCGAATCCTCTGAACTATTAACTATCATCGTACATTATCAACCAGAGAATTGCTTTTACAAATTGGGGATGTGGCTGGCCCCAATTCATCAGCCCGCAGTATTTAAAGTCAACTCACAGTATACAGAGTATTAATGTCACAGGCTGGAGGAAGTTACTAATGCTACATGAGATGTGACCTATGTCATTCTCTCAGTATTCATTTTCATTCAGGCTAATTTATTCCTGCCAGAAGTTAAGGCTATATCCTTAGGTTAGAGGCATGGATTATTTCACTTGTTACATTTTGACCCTAATCTCTCCCCTTCTTGCCACCTCCCCACACTCTGACAGAATAGCCTTCTTAACACAAAAGCTTTAGCTTAATTAGTACAAGAGTTATTAGAATTAGGAGTTAATCAGCGTTAACTCTTAGGGAGATTTGTGGTCGCTCTGCTTGGGACAATCCTGATTCAGTCCTGTCGCTCTGGCATATTTATAATACAGCGCCTTTTCATTCCCTAACTATGACTCTGTAAAATGCAGTGGGGGGTGAGGCGGTGTCTTCTTATGTAGTCTAGGCTGGCCTCAAACCTACGAACTTTTTGCTTCAACCTTCTGAGTACGCAGATTACAGATGTATATTACCACGTCTACCTTCAACCTACATTGTTGACCACACCAAATATTTCAAGCGGGCATCCAATGAACCGGGCTGCTCTGCCGACCAGGGGCTTCTCTCTGTCAGTCGCTTTGTTTCCAACATTTCTATTAAATGACTTGAAAGTTGCCAGCAAGGTGAAAAAGTTTTCCCAGTTGCTGGGCAACAGCCCAAGCTCACGGTCCACCGAGAGGAAGCCAGGGTACGTTCTTAAGCACAGAGCTGGTGTCTCTCCATCCAATCAGAAGTTTGGATCTGACTAATTCAGTCTTACTATTTATCTTGACTTTATGAAACTCAGAGCGAGTAAGTTTTGTTGCTCACTGAGGTAGACCTTGTGGGGCTGTGAACAACCTGACCTCCTTCATGAGATGCTTTCCTGAACTGTTTTGCTTTAGTGAGAAAGACTGTGGAGGCTGCCTCTCCGAAGTCCCAGGCTCTGGCTTTCAGGTTAACCACTCAGGGCACATATGCCAGGAGTCACAGTGACATCAGCATACTTTTGTCTGTCTTTATAATTTTCCATCTGTGTTGTTTTATCTATAGGAGTTCTGAAAATATTCAATACATTGATCTTAGCGGTCAGTTACTTGTTTGTATAGATTGAACAAATTCATTGAACATTTCAATATACATAAGTTAAGTTTCAATTTTAACCATTTATTTATTTATTTTTAAAAGTTCCAACTGTCTTCTATGAAGGCTGATTTTAAAAAGTGTGTATGGGGGCTGGAGAGATGGCTCAGTGGATAAGAGCATTGCCTTCTCTTCCAAAGGTCCTGAGTTCAATTCCCGGCAACCACATGGTGGCTCACAACCATCTGTAATGAGGTCTGGTGCCCTCTTCTGGCCTGCAGACATACACACACACACACACACACACACACAGACAGAATACTGTATACATAATAAATAAATAAATATATTTTTAAAAAAGTGTGTATCGTTAGTAAAGTAACAGATGAACTAAAACAACCCGTACCACATTTTTAATCTCATTTTGTCTCTGTTCTGTGGATAAATGTCTCATCATCTCTGCTTTAAATATTGGATGATCAAACTTCAGGGATGACAGAGGACTTCTCAGCTGGGACCTTCCCCGTTGTTCCTTTTCCCATTCTTCTTTCAAGTGCATAGACGGTAAAGTGTGTGACTCTTCGCCATGGAAACCTAGAGACCATCTGCTGAAAATGTCCCAGAACTTTCAAGTCCTGTTTTTTTTTTAAAATCGTGTGTGTCTTTACTTCTTGACTCCTAGTTCGTTGTGCAGATGTAGCTGAGTGGGGGGAGGGAGTCAAAGGGCTCAGGAACAAGTAGGGTATTATCACACACCCTGCTGTACACAGACTAGAACCTTTAGTTCTAGCAATGAAACTACAAGCATCAAAGATTCTTTATTTTGTTTTGTTCTTACCCCTAGGTGGCCTTTTTTGTGATTTGCAGCCAGCCCTGATTTGACTTACTAGACGAAGGTAGTTTGGGGACTGAGATTTTATGCAATTAAAGGACAAGGGAATGAGGCAGTGGGCGTGAAATGAACTGAGTGCTTCTGATATGGTAGGCATCCCTATGTGGGACATCTCACAGGGACAATAAGAAGCAAAGACTGGTCCTCGTGCCAGGGATGGGCTGCTTCTCCCTGAGTGGTTGGCGTCGGAAATGTTTTTGAAATGTTCAATGCCATTTTTTTTTTAATTAGAAGATCTAGTTTAAGGGAAGCAGTGTCAATCATTTTGAAAATGAGAGTCAGTTTATTAGTCATGGAAAGATGATTTATGCATTTTGTATGACTGGTAAATGGACTTTCAAAAATAGGAATGCCTTTAAGGCTTTGCTGGCCTCATGGGTATGTAATTCCTATGCCACAAAGTTCACTCTTTTAAGGGTGCACTTCGTGGGTGGGGAAATGGCTCAGTGGTTAAGAACCCTTGCCTTTCGTCTAGAAGACCCGAGTTCGTTTCTTAGCACCCATGCTAAGTGGCTAACAACTACTTCTAGCTTCAGGGAACTCAACACTCTCTTCTGAGCTCCCACAGGTGCCCGAACACATGCGCCAGACACTCGCATGCATGCACAGAGATATACACATGAGTAAAAATTAAAATAATTATTAAATGTAAAGTAGATTCGCCTACTTTGAACAGTTTATTTAAATGTTGTATGCCTGTATGCTTCTACCTCTGTTTAAAACATTGTTTATGTATTGATGTATATACTTACCATACTGCACTGTACATTACTACCTCTGATCAAGATACATTTGAAGGTCATTGTCCTCATTTATTGCACAGTTGTTTATTGTCTTAGTCTTTAAGTTAGGTATTGAAAATTATAGATCAATAGTCATCTATGTTTGTCATATTTATAATTAGGCTAATCAGGTTCTTTAGGTACATAGAGATTATATTCAGTATAGATAGTATAATCTTCAACCTCTTCAAAGAGCTGTAAAAAATGACCTTTAATCTAACCTAGAATTCCGTGGTAGTGAGACACAATTGCTCCTGACAACACCGATCTATTCCCGAGAGAACGTTGAGCACCAAAGACACTCCACCTGGAGCCTTTCTTTTTGGCAGAACTGGCCTTTGGGCAAAGAAATGCCCATACCTCAACCACTGACAGAGATAGAGAGTATCCGTAAATGGATAAAACAAGACTGTCATATCCTGCCAAGACAGGGTAAGATAGTTTTGAAAAGTTTCTTGCCTTTGAAAATGGTTATGTCAGTTATGCTGGCCTTAGCCTAAGTTGGTTGCTTCAACATTGCAAATGAGACTTTGGGTGATTGCCCAGGTAGTCAGTTGTCTCTGTCATTTGTTGCACATTTTGGAAGTTTCTGGATTGTACTTCCTGATTACTCAAGTAATATTGCTTCCCTTCTCAGATCTTTGATGGAGTTGAAGATTAGATAATTGTAGTTACCTTCTTCATGATTTAGCCAAGTTTAATTTCAATGCAATAGTTAGACTCCTTGAAATAGAATGATTAGTAAAACTTTTGTTATGCGTTCCTTGCTTAATATTGTTTATTGTTTGTAATTTTATATTTGGTATCTGTTTCTATTGTATATAGTTGTATTGGGTTTGGATCGATCTTGTTTAGACAAAATGGGGAGATGATGGAGAAACTATCAACCCATCACATCTACTTAGGATGTGGCTACCTGTAGCCCAGGTAGCAAAACTGGTAGGACACAGGCGCGCGCGCTTTCTCTGCGAGGTGCCCGCCGGACATATAGGACGTCCGACCTCCCACTCTTGTAGCATGAGTTTCTCCTTTTCAACTATTAAAATATAAGAGTTGTTCTTGAGCTGGTCTGGTTATTTATCTTACCGACCTAATTCGCTAACAGAACCATGTAGCCTTTTGGAACCGGTCTTTCATCTGTATCATAACATGCAGAAGTTTTTCATCCTTTACTGTGACCAAATAATATTCTAATAACCTTACTAGTCCCACATTTTCCATATCTATTCTTTAGGAGATTGTTATATAATGGCTGTCCATTATGAATATTATGTGTTCATTATGAATTACATATTTATGTGCAATTATATATGTATTATAAGCAATACTGTGGCGAATATTTATGTACCAGTGGTGGCTCTGTTGCTAGCCCAACTTTTCTCCCAGCTTTGCTGAGGAGGTAGAAAGGACAAAGAGCCACCAGCAAATGTTCTGTGAACAAGTACAAATTTGCTGGGTCATATCATAATTCTATGTTCTGCTTTCTTTCTACTGTATTCGAATGTTCAAATCTTTTTTTTTTAAAAACTTATTCTTATTATTTAATGTGATGTGATGTGTGTGTGTGTGTGTGTGTGTGTGTGTGTGTGTGTGTGTGTGCAGTTCTCAGTCACCCAACTTGGATGCTGGAAATAGAACTCAGGTCTTCTGGAAAAATAGCATGCTACCTTCACTGTTGAATAGTAAGAATTCTTAATACTAGACCATTATCAGATACATGCTTTGTAAATATTTTCTTCTGTTTTATGCATTTTCTCTCACTTTTATGTTAGTATATTGCTCTTAATTAATTATTGCTCCACTAATACTTTTAATTCCATATACTAGATTTTAATTACCTCCTTACTTTAGGAGGGTTACATATTTTAGCCCAGGTCTGCTACTTCATGAAAGAGGGAATTAAAGATAGGAGAAGCTGGGATACAGGGAAGCTGAAAGAGCGTGGGTTTAGAGCCTCCATCCAGCGCCTGGCTCTTCTCTTAGCCTTTCCACACCTACTCCCCAGCTTCCTATCTGCAGTGACAGCAGTTTCCATTTCATTAAAATTATTGTGATGTTTGGATTAGCTCTCGGGAGGGGAAGACATCGGGAGAGGAAGACGTCGGCACAGAGGAGACAGCTCAGAAATGTTAAGCTGCTGCCATTTTTATTAAGAGACAGTGGAGCTGGGTCTAAGGAGGAGCCACCTGGCTGGTAAGTTGTCACCCAGTCTCAGTTCGTTCTGACTGGATACTAAAACTTCATGGTTACCTACCAGCAAACTTGATAGGCGCATAGCAGTTATGTTTTTATTTCCTTTGATCTCAGTGATGAACAACTCTTTGGGGTCTAAGGAGTCATAGATTAAAAATAAGCTGTCATGTTGGCCTAATGAATATTTTGTCATGTTGTGTTCTTGCTGTCACTAAGCAGTGGCTATTGATGTCGTTACTGGAGAATAACAGACAAACTCCCTCTTTATCAGTTAGATATGGGACTGTAAGAAAGGTCACTTGATGTACAGTTAAATATTTACCATACTGTGCAGCATTATTTTAGAACTTTCATTTGGGTGAAGAAACAGGTAAGGGTCAGTCTGTTATTGTTGTTGTTATTATAAAAATTATTTAAATTTATATACATATAAAATATGTAAATTTACTTAAATATATCTATATAGATATATAAAAATGTATTTAAATTTTTACTGTTATTTTATTTTATGTGCATGGTGTTTTCATTGCATGCATGCCTGTGCACCATTTCCATTCAATACCAATCGAGGCCAGAAGGATCCCCTGGGCCTGGAGTTATAGATGATTGTGAGCCACCTTGTGAAGTTTTGAATTGACCTCTGGATGATTAGCCAGTGCTCCGAGCTGCTGAGCCATCACTCTAGCTCTGTTTTATTATTATAAACCAGTCATGATGAAAGTTCAAAGTCAAATGATCTTAGTTCAGCCTGCTCCTAGAGGCAAGCGCTCTAGTAAATGAGTAGGCACCATTTACTCGAGATGCACTTATCAGTGTATATCTATAGCTATATAAACTGCATAATGGAATTTTATGAAATTTTTATTTAAATAACTCAGTCTTGCACCATCTTCAGGCCCCACGTGGTAGAAGGAGAGAACGGGTTCCTACAAGTTGTCCTCTGACCTCCACATGCATGCCATACAGTGTGCATCCCCTTTCCCTGCCAAATAAAAAGAGAAAAAAGAAAAGAAAAAAAAAAAGCTCCTATCACTTCTTGGCCTTTTGAATAAGATTACTCATTAAAAGTGTGACTCTTCGGATGAAGGTTCCCTCTGGTCTTGCCTTCTTTGCTCACATTCTCTTTCCTTCTGCTTCTCGTTTGGACCTAGGGAGTTAAGTCCAGTGTTCCAATGTGGGTCTCTGTCTCTATCTCCATCCATCGCCAGATGAAGGTTCTGGCCCTCTTGTCTATTTCCAATCTCCAGGAGGATAACTACATGATTTTCTTCAGGTTCACCTTCTTATTTAGCTTCTCTAGGATCATGAATAATAGGCTCAAAGACCTTTAATTATGGCTAGAATCCACTTATGAGTGAATACATACCATATTCCTCTTTTTGGGTCTGGCTTACCTCACTCAATAAAGCGTTTTCTATGTCCATACAGACGGAGACCTACATTGGAGCACCGGACCGAGCCCCCCAAGGTCCAAATGAGGAGCAGAAGGAGGAAGAACATGAAAAAGGAAATCAGGACCGCGAGGGGTGTGATCACCCACTGATACAAGGGGACTGATCTAAGGAGAGTTCACCAAGGCCAGTTGGACTGGGACTGAACGAGCATGTGATCCAACCAGATTCTCTGAATGTGGCCGGATTCTCTGAATGTGGCTGGCCCGGAGTCTTTCTGAAAAGCTATTGACAATGACACTGGGACTTGTTTCCTCTGCATATACTGGATTTTTGGGATCCAGTCTGTTTGGATACTCACCTTCCTGGACCTGGAGGGAGGGGGGAGGAATTTGAATTTCCTACAGGGCAGGAAACCCTGACTGCTCTTAGGGATGGAGAGGGAGGAGGAGAGGGAGTTGGGGGAGTGGGAGGGTGTTGGGAGGAGGGGCGGAAATGGAAACTTTCATAAATTAATAAACTTTGAAAAAAAAAAAGTGTGACTCTTGGCCTGGACATACGGTTCAGCCACTGGACACTGGAATATAGGTTCACAACCCTGAAGACAAACAATAAAACTCCCTTTTTTCTTTTTCTCTTTCTCTTTCTTTTTTTCTTTCTTTCTTTCTTTTTTGAGACAGGGTTTTTCTGTGTAGCTTTGACTGTCCTGAAACTCACTCTATAGATCAAGCTGTTCCTCAAACTCACAGAGATCCACCTGCCTCTGTCTCCTGAGTGCAGAGATTAAAGGTGTGCACCACCACTGGCAAAAACAGTAAAACTCTTAATGGATAATTAACATGCAGTGTTACTTCTCAGTGCTGAAGAGTTATCCATTAAAGATGGGAAATATTGCAAAATTGTATTTCTCTGTGTTGAAGATATTTAAGCATCTTTTGGGGAAAGAAAATCACCATTACCCTCTGCTCTAAGATGTTCTCTGAGTGAAGCCAAAGTTTCCTTTTCAGTTTCTTATCAACTTCCAATCCCCAGTTCCAGGAGACGTGGGGGACAGAAGACAGGCTGTGGGATGGATTTGGAGATTTATGCTATTAGTGCGATATTCAAAGTGAGCACATAGGACTTCTGGTTGGTGTCTGTGTTGGCCACAGAGACTGGAGGTTCTGGAAGCCGGATCTACGTCTTTAATCATCTAGTTACTCAAGGAAGCTCTGCTATTAACAGACTGTCTTTATGTGTAGGTGTGCTAGAGAGGAAAGGGAGTGTTCTTAACCACCCCCCAGGGACTCTTAGGGGGTTTCCTTAGGGAGGAAAATATTCCTTAGTTTCAGTGTGATTTCCCAATTTTTCACTACCTTATAATCACAACATAGAATGTCTGTGTCAAGTACTTGTTATAGAAACAAATACAACACACACACACACACACACACACGCTAATTCTTTTTTCCTTTCCCCCTCCTCCTCCTCCTCCTCCTCCTTCTTTTTTAAGACAAGTTTTCTCTGTGTAACAACCCTCCCCGGCTGTCCTGGAACTCACTTTGTAGACCAGGCTGGCCTCGAACTCACAAAGATCCATCTGCCTCTGCCTCCTGAGTGCTGGGATTAAAGGTGTGCGCTACCATTGCCTGGCCACGCATAATATTTCATGTTTACTATTGTACCTATTTCTAAATGCCCCCCCCCCCCACCTGGGACTCTCTGCAGACACAGGACAAGTGTAGTGGCCCATGTTTTTAATCCGAGCTCTCTTGAGACAGGGAATTCAAAGACAGCTTGGTCTGCATTGTGAGTTCCATCCAGAGCTACATAGTGTGACCCTGTCTCAAAATCACAGCAATGAAAACCACACAGCAACAACAAAACCGAAAACCAGATTCTCCACAATCTCCATTATCCTCACTTTATCGTTATAGAAAGTGAGACTCACCCACAAATGGGCAGTTTATAAATTAGGGAACCAGTTGCACACCAAGCGGTGCTCCTCACACAGATGCCCCCCCAAAAGATGCTAGGGAGCTTTCTGTAACTGTTTAAAAACATCACCCATCACACTTCCTAACCTCACCAGTTCCCAGAGGCATTCAGAACACATGCCACTGGTTTTTATACGTAGATGGTTCCTGACATACAATGGTTTGTTTAGGTTTGTGTTTTTCCACTCTATGATGGTGTTAAAGAGAAATGTGTTCAACAGAAGCCATACTTTTCTAGTTCATGTGCGCATGCACGCATGTGCGTGTGCACGTGTACATGCTGTGGAGCTGTGCCCATGTTCATGTGTGTGCATTTTGGGTCTGTACATATGGGGACCAGAGGGCAATCTCCAATGTCATTCTTCCGAAGATGTCCACCTTGGTTTTTGAGACAGGGTCTTTCACTGGGACCTGGGACTAACCAATTTAGAGATGCTGGCTTGTTTATTAACTTCATGGATCCTTTTGCCTTTGTCTCCCCAGCACAGGGAAGCTACGGCCCATGCTGCTATCATCATTATTGCTATTATTACTACTACTATTTGAGTGCTGGGAATCAAACTCAGCTTCTCGTGTTTGAGTGGCAGGAGCTTTGTGAAATGTTGACTGCTTTCCTGAGGTGTGTATATGGTGTTGTCAATGAGAATCCCGAGAAGCAAGCTGTGTCTGCAGAGACTAATGAGAACAGCAATGATGTGGACCGGTTGGAATGTTGTGGGTCCAGGGCTAATTATCTTATCTTGACCAGCTTTAGCACCCTGAATAAGTCATTCCTTGTCCACCTCTGTGTTGGAACTAGCATCCTGTGACTAATAGATTAAAAACCTTTTGGAATCTATTAACTTAGCAGACAGTGAGCTTCCGCCAACCCAAGAGCTAAGAATGCCATCAGATGGCATCTTGGGCCTATAGAAAAGCTTCCCTCATCTTGCAGTAACAGCCTTTCTGATGTGCCCATCCATGTATTTTAAAGTTGCCTTGATTTAGGACTTTGTTCCGTAAGACTATAAAGCTTCTTGAAACTGCCTCTGCCTTGGAACATGGAATTTAGTGTAACCTAAATCTGTGTTTCTGGGCAATGGTCACACAAAATGGCTCCAGAATAATCTCTCATTCCCTTTAAGGCAGTGATTCTCAATCTTCCTAATGCTGTGACCCTTTAATATAGTTCCTCATGCTGTGGTGACCCCAACAACATAAAATTGTTTTCGTTGCTACTTCATAACTGTAATTTTGCTACTGTTACAAATCATAATGTAAATATCTGATATGTAGGACATCTGATAGGCAGCCCCTGTGAAAGAGTCGTTTGACATCTGGGAGGGGTCATGACCCACAAGTTGAGAACCTCTGGTTTAAAGTAAGCGCTGTGGGTTTTTTGTTTGATTTTTGGTTTTGTTTTCCCCATCTAACTCCCACTGGGGTCCGGGGAAGTAGCGTCATCAGGAGTTGAGGAGGATCTATCCACTTTACCAGAAACTCAGAGAGCTGTGTAATCAGTGTAGGGCCAGCAATCCCATACTTCTCTTTATTTCTATTCCTGCATTTCCCTCCTGAATGCTAAAAACTATCCTAGGGGGCATAAATAAACTGGATTCAATTACCATTGATTCCTGAAAACAGTAGGAATAGTCTGAATCCAAGCCAAGCGAAAGGCAGAGACGATGGATGGGGCAGGCCCATCGGTGCATTCACTCCATAGCTCATTTCATTTTTATTAGTTTTTCTTCATCGCATAGCAACACAGAAAACTTCCTCCTTTGCTCTGCCACTTGCCTTCCTCATCTAAGCAATGGAGCGAGTGACTGTAATCCATCTAGTATAGTGTAGTGAAAAGCGCTCGGGTTTATGGAAGTATTCCCACGCACAAGTCACTATGCAAACACGAAAGACAGTCACTTGTACCAGGCTCTCTGTAAGCACGCATTCACCCCTACACGCTTCCTCGCAAGGATTCGCATTGCTCTCCTGCTGCTCCATGCTTTGTCTTTCACTGAGTTGCAGAGGAAGCAAGTCCTAGGACTCTCAATTCAGTTCTCCTTGCCTGCTTTTGGTCTTGTTAAGCAAATCTCAAATAAACAAAGATAAAATCATATAAACACATTCTATTGCTTCTTTTTTTTTTAAAGTCTGTTGACAAGCTCTTAATGAAAGTAAAGGCAATTAAATTGAATTAATCTGTGTGGGTTGAAACTTTAAAGAAGGGTTAAAAAGTAGAGCGTAGATGATTAGATAGATTATGCTCTTCTTTTGAAAAACATTTTTGGATTATCTGCAAATTTTAATAGAATGAAAATTTCTCAAAACCTTTCATAAAATTGTCTCTCCCTCTCTACCTCTCTCTTTTTTTCTCTCTCTTTTTGAGACAGAAGTTCTCTGAGTAGTCCTAATTGTCCTGGAATTCTCTTTGTAGACCAGACTGGCCTTGAACTCAGAGATCCACCTGCCTCTACCTCCCAAGTGCTGGGATTAAAAGGCGGGTGTGACCACCACCTGACAAATCTTTCTTATACATTTTTTTGTTGTTGTTGCCAAAAAATGAAATACTAGTAACAGGAGTCACTTCCAATCCAGCATGAATTCCTAGTGGGGATTAATCCCCCCCAGCTGGCCAAACCACATTTGTTCCTTAACCAGCACTTGACAGTATGTGGTCAGGGTCAGGGTCTATCCATACCAGAAGCTTGGATCAGCCTGGTGATGAAGTCAGTTGTAATCAGAAGTGGACACAGGTGTTGAGGGTCTGGGTTATGCAATCTTAAGTTTTTTTAAGAAACATCATGACTAAAAGTCAGGTACAGAGGTGAGTATATTATTTATTCATATATTATTAGAATATATGAATAGAAGGAAATCAAATTATACTTTGAAAATGACAACGCATTCTGTAACATCTTCAAATCTAGAAAAGTAATCCTCATGCAGCACGAGGATTGATTAATCACCAGAGTCTAATATATACATAAATATTATAAATGTATATATATATATATGTGCTATATATATTTTACAATTTTTGTCAAAAGTAATTTGTTTGAATCCAAATTCATTCTTGTAAACACTAATTTATGTAACACACAGATGTCATGGCTGTCTTTGTATTAT